GCCCCCGCCTTCCCCTCCCTCCCCTCGGCAGGGGCTCATCCCCACTGCGCCGCTCGTGGCTCTCCTCGCAGGTGTGTACAGCCTGGGGAAGGAGACGCTGCTGGTGGACCTGGCCGTGGAGATCAGCACCTGGGTGGTGGTGAGCCCCTGGCGCCTGGAGCAGATGCGGCTGCTGGAGCTGCCCGATGTCTTCACCACCGAGGAGGGCGCCGGCTGGATCCGTGCCGTGGATGTCGCTGAGATCCGCTGGGACACCCTTGTCAGCTGGAACATGCTGCACCCTACCATTGCCATCCTCCCTACTGGCAGGCCCGTAAAGGTCACCCACCCCAATATCCACCCCATTCCGTACTCGGATCACTCATCCTTTTCAGAGCTGTGCGAGTTTGTGAAGTGGCTGAAGCCTTGCTCGGTCATTCCAATCGTGAGGGGCAGCATGTGCCAGGCGTACTTTCAGGAATACCTGAGTTCTGCCCCCCAAGCACTTCCTGACCTCAAAATGCCAATGCCCGTGCAAGAGTCTGCACAGCAGCAAAGCAAAAGGAAGGGGCAGGAACCGACACGTCTCTTGAAAAGAGCTGCCCACCATTCTGTGCCCCGAGGAGTTGTTTATGAGTCCCCAGAGAAATACACTGAGAAATCTGAAGAGTTCACAGGCGTTAAGGTTCCTCAGCAGAACTACTGCGAGTCAGCTGTCTGCTCAAAAGAAAGTTGCACTTGTTGTCACACGGGCAAGGAGAAAGGGAAGGAAGAGCTGAGTGGAGAACAGCCAGGAGTGGCGAGAGCAGCTAGCGCTGTTTGCCGGGCACCTGTTTCTGATGAGCACTTTGCAACTGGATTTGCAGAGCAGTATTTGCTCACTCCCTTAAATGTCCTAAAGCAGAATTCCTCACAGAAATTTGACAAGCTGGTAGAAGATTTCTTCAGAAGGGGCAAAGAATCCTGAAAAATTGTGTGACGTTTGCCAACGCCAATGCAGTTCATAGCAGTGATGCTAGAGGTCTTACTACTGCATCCCGTTCTTGGTGCTCAAGGTTCCTATCAGGAGAGAGGAACTCAGCTATGGGGCTCTACTTTCTTTACCTCTTATTAGAAGACAAGGAGGAAACTATAACCAATTTGTAGGCATTAGTTTTTTGTTGTGGGTTTTTTTTTTAATTTATTTATGTTTATATCTCTGCCCACATCTGTTGGGTCTGCACGCTATGCTCAGGCAGTGTGACCCCGCTGTGTGTGTGCCTTGTATGCACTTTCTGCAGTGACTTGCCTATCCCTTGTGACAAAAGGTACTGCCAGGTTGATTCAAGCTGAGCAGCAGAGGGTGTGCGCTGCCTGCAGCTGAAATAATTAATGGGGATGTATGTGATGAAAGAAGCAAGGAGGGGGAATCTGAGCGCCCCAAAGATTCTTCTTTCTATTTGTCTGTAATCCTTCATTGACAATGAGCGCTTCATTCCAAGATGCATTACAAATATTATATATTAAGGTATATTTAAAAATTTATGCTTAAAGAAATCTAGAAAACGAAGTGCCTCTGAGTCTATTAGTCTATTTTCTATCTATTAATCTACTAATACCTCCAGACAACACTGCTTTTGTATCCAACCAACTGCAGCTGGATGCAGTTCTGCTGTCCTGTAAGCACTATCTTAATGTTAATTGTCAATCATTTTTCAAGTTACTGGCTGGGCATAGATAAAATAGAAATTGTCTGGATTCTTGAGTTCTGGACCTTCTGGAATGGGTTACTGGATCCTCTGCAGTCTCTGCACTCAAGTTTGCATGTCTGAATTCTGCTTGACTGCAAAGCACTTGTGGTAACTGCCCGTGTTCTGCTCGCGCACTGCCTTTCCACCCACTGCCTGTTCTTATCACAGGATGGCAAATGGGATGGAAGATAATGAAACATCTGCTTTGTGGTGTAAAGTGCTCAGTCTTAGCAGCATTGTTTGGAAGGAATACTGGGGCTGAACAGCAAAATTGGCTCTGCTCGGTGGAGGTGAGGCACTACTTTCCCGCTCCAGATCATCAGCAGGGAGCTGCAGGCTGGCACGGTGGGGAAGTGTCAGTAATGTGACCAGCCAGCGGGTACCCACTGCAGAGCCTGGAGACACTGGAGCTGTCCGTGCCAAACCGCACTAGCAGCATCACGCGTTGGCTCTCCATGGGGTCAAGGCAGCAACACTAGACTGGAAACGGTCACTAGGCACTTTCCTGGAGCAATAAACCAGCTTTTTACTCAGCTTTGTCTAGCCTCCTTTTCATTACTTTCAACACAAAATGTTTTGTGATGTTGATCACGATCAGAGTCTCTTCTGAATGTAGCGTTCTACAAGGTGTCTCCAAGACCAGTCAGCTAGATGGGTTGAATTCCCTGAATCAAGGCAGAAAAGGAAGCGTTTGCTCTTTCAGTAAAGCTAGGGCTTGTGGAAAGCAAAGATGCCTGCAGATGCAGCAGCCACGCTGGTTAACAACAAGGCTGTCCTGAGTAGTCATCGTGATGACAGCCAGAGTGGGTGTGTTTGGAAAGCTGTTTGGCAAACAGGAGCCCTCACTCCCAGCCCTGTGCCTTCCCAGGCACTGCAGCCTTTGTTGCTGTAGCGTGAGCAGTGCCTGCGGCTGGGACTGCCTGGTGATTGTGTCTGCCCACTGCTAAGGGGACGTCGGAAGGGATGGAGTAGTGTTCTCTGAAACGTACTTCAGAAGCGGTAGCGAGGGCAGCTCAGGCCTCTTGCTGTGGTCTGTATGGTCCTGTGTCTTGGAGGTTTCTGTATGGATTATTTGCTAATCAAAACTCAACCACAGAGCTCCACCAGGTCAGCATGAGCAGAGACACCTGCATCTTTTGTAACATCTGAAACTGCCTGGGAAATAATTGCACTGTGCTTGTGGTGTTTGGTCGGCTGCTGGCTGCCTTGGAGATGCAGGCTGTTATTTAAATATTGTTGAAATTTAGGTGACTCATTTGACAGGCAAGTGAGTGAAGCACTGCCTGAACTCCCAGATTCCGTGTCCTGCTCTCCCCTGCAGCCTCCCCATTGCTCGGAAGGAATGCTTGCCTTCTGAGTCACTGCTCCATTTAGGTATGTTGCAAATCACCTCGGAGATCTGAGGCATTTCACTGCTGATGTGTTGTGGCACCCAGCCTTTCCTCTTTTATTCTTATCAATCCTTTATTCAAGTAAATGAAGTAGAGAACCTCCTGGTGAACCTCTGGGCAAAATGGAGTTGTAAATAGTAATTCTTTACAGAGGCAACTCTAACCTATAGATGACACAAAAAGTGAAAATTGCAGAGACTTCAGAAGCTGGGGATCTGCACCCCATTTCTGAACGCTTAAAACTGCAGAAAAAATGCCAGCTTCTGTTATTAGAGCTTAAAAGGTAATTCCTGCAACCTCAGAAAGAATTGATCCGAATCATATAGAGCTGAGGAAACCTAAAATCTCTGCATGGTTTTAAAAGACAGTAGAAGCAGGAGAGACTTGACCAACAGTCAGCCTGCTTCAGCACAGCAGGTGCATGAGGCATTTTAGTGCCACACATTTCCTCTCTCTCTTGGGCATTAAAATACTACTTTTGTGTGTTATCATAAAATCTTGGAAAACAAAACATGGCCTTGTGGGGAAAACTGGCACTATGGTATTGCTGAGCTCTAAAGTTTCTGAGAATCCTTCAGCTTCCCCTGAACTTTCCTGGCAGTAAATAGGTGGCCTCTTACAGGCCTCCTTCTCCCTCATGCTTGCCTCCAACATCTCCCCTTTTCTGCCACCAGCCTGGCTCACAGGGGAGCCTTAGTGCAGCCGAGAGCTGGAGCGTCAGGTACACCGGGGTCTGAACATGCTGCTTCCAGCTCAGCCGCTCTGTCAACACTGCTGCCACAGGTGTGTTGTGCTCACAACAGTGACAATGAGAAGCTGTAGCCAAGGATTAGCTGGACTGTGCGGTATCTAAGGGCCACATGTGTAGAGACTTGCAGTTATCCTGGCAGGAAAAAAAAAAAAAAATGGTGCTCAGACCAAAGACCTCCCAAATCTATACAGGCAAAGCGTGCTTGAGCTGCTTATCTCTGTCCCACAGTTGGGAACCAAGCCCCAGCGGGATGAAACAACTCACCCAGGGCCTTACAGAGCTCCTTACAGGAGCTACGAACGAGCCGAGTTCCTCTTGCCAAGTTTTTAGCACTGTTTTAACAAGCTGCCAGCAAATGCTGGGGTGTCATGAGGGCAGGGCAGGCTTGTTCTGGGAGCAGGACTGCCTGCTGAGCGCCTTCCACACAGTTGCCTGCAAAAGTCCAATCACTCTACTATGAAACAATTTAGTTGGCTCTAGCTTCTCTAAAACACAGTAGAAAACCATGGAAGGGTACCCTGCCTGTGCCACGGAGAGGAGCAAAAGTACGCTTTAAGTTTAGGTTGCTGCCAAGAGACTGAGGTAAACCTTACCTCGCTCGTGCGCTCCACGGCAAACAAGCGTGTAACGAAACTTTGTAGGGAACACCCTAGAGCACCCTGCTCCGCCGCGTTTCTAATTGCTTCCCGTACTGCAAGGCTAAAGCACTTAACGACAACTTCTCTGCTGCAGAGCTCCTGTCCATTTCTGCAGTGCAGGTTCTTATTGTTATTTTCTAGATAAAAAGACTTGTGTAATGCAGAAATCTTTTCTTCTTCGCCAAGAAAACTAATTCAACGTGTTTACATAATTTCCTGTATGATGTGTTTTAGCTTTGGGCTTATTCCAAATTAATCTGAAGCCTAAAATCTCTAGCTTTGCGCTCTTTTGTGGAGCCCTCTGAAAAAGTAGTAGAACATGTAGAAAAGGTAGAGTCACACGGATAATCCTGTGAGGTGCCTTCTTCAAATGAGCTGCTGTCTGGCTATGGGTATTCGGTGTGCATTTGCGATTCCTTCTGCTAAATTTGGGCTCTTTTGCTAAGGTCGCTACAGTGCCTAAATTTTCCTTGCTGTCACTTTGTACTTGGCCACATGCCAGCCTCGGCACAAGCGGCCCTGAGTGTGCAGTAAACTGTTCGGGACGGACTTTTCTCAACAGCAAGGCTCTTGGCCCTGCCTCAGGGAGTCTGGGACTTTGAGCAGGTACCCGGGAAGATGAGAATATTTTCACTTTGTGTGTATGCTCCACTCATGACGGACGGGCAGCATGGAGCACCACGTGGGGCTGATCCTGTGCTCGCTTTCCAGGCATCGCTACCAGTAAGTGCTGGAGCGTAGGACTTGAGCCATCTGGGAAGCCGTGCTCCTCGGCCCAACAGGCAGGAGCTGCAGAATCGCCTGGGGGGCGAGTTGCCCCGTCCCGTAAGAGATGAGCTCCACGGTGAGCCCAGGACACAGACCATGTCAGGTTCCCTCGGGTTTCAAGGGGCTCTGGAGTGTGTTCCATACATTCTTGCTTTGGAGTTCACGCTAAGCCTGAAGAAAATAAGTCCAAGAGAAATACAGCCCCCAAGTCCTCCACGCAGGACCGAGACCTTCCTTTAGCAGATAGCACAAAGGGGTGAGCTTCTGAATGGTGTTCTGCTGGAGGAAGAAAGTGGAAAATGTTATTTCTTGAATCAAGCACATGCACACTCAAGTTACTTGTAGGATTTTAGACAGAAGAGCAATACTGTCCCACTCAAACTTCGCTGGCAGCTTGTTGTCTCACTGTGCGTTGCAGTGTTATTTAGTGCCCCGAATCATGGCTGCAGTTGCCCAGCGCTCTCTCATGGAAATAATGTTGCACTTAAGTTTCTACAAAGCAGAAAACCTGCTCGGTACATCGCAAGCTTCCTCTGTCCTGGGGGGATCTGACAGTGGCCCTGAGGGTGGTTTAGAAAGGCACTTGTGTAATAGCGAGCACCAAGGTGAAGGCTGTCAGCGTGCATTCCCGCGTCCGCCTGGGTCTGCGTGACTCTCCCACCCGTCCGAGGTGGAGCATTGTGCTGGCC